TTGACTGATATATATTTATATGATCATTGATGGAAAAAATGGAAGGTTTTAAACTGACAAATTTCAATTTTGTAATGTTGTAACTTGTACGATATGACATGTTGTGTATTACTGTATTAAGTAAGGTGTGAAGTAATTAAGACAGGGGGTACAGTTGACATACTATGTATGTTAAAGATAAAATATTATAATGAACCATCGGTTTATTTCGTAATAAACATTTAAATAAATGACAAAAATATTATAATAAAGAGTCCCCATAACATATGTTAGCGATTTGTTGATATATAGTTTAACTGTTCAATAAAAGAAAGACACAAACTTTCCAATTTCCAATTTTACTGCCTGATACATTATACAATGTTTTATGGAATTTTTTTAGAGCAGTCGAATTATATATCTGTATTCAAACTCATAAAACATAAACAAGTACAAAATTTATAATGAGATTTAACTCATATTACAGAGTATCATATTTTTCCATCATAGTCCGATCAGAGCTTTTTATAAATACTATTTGATAAGAAAATTGTTATGCACGATAATCACGTGCAGATATATAACATGCTTGTGCTAATGTCTTGTAATAAATGGTTGCTGTACATACATAATTTCTGTACCAAATATCTCTAAACCTGCAATATATTTTATTGCATAATGACTTAAAGTAAATCAACCCCTGTTCGAAAGTTCATTTCATAGGTTAGAGAATTTTTTTTACTTCGTTCATTAATACTGTACCGTGTTAAATGAATATATATCACTTTTTCATATCCATGTTCCATATTCTATTAATAATCGGTGGAAATAGAAGATATGTTCTGTTCGTTATAAATTTCGGCAAATTCCTTGTACATTAATATAGGCCCGAATAACATTTATTTTATTGTTGTTTCCTTGTCTATGAATGCTTTACACGCATCATTGTTCTTTTATACTCAAATAATGTACAATAATTAAACATAAAAAAGTTAACATTTTATTTACCCCCCCCCCTCCTTTTCGTGCCTATACATTGAAATTATAGCACGTGTATAAACATCAGTGACAGCGCACGTTTAGTATTTATTTATTTAGTTATTTATTTAGTTATTTGTTTATTAATTACTTTAATACTATGTTACTTAAAAAAAGAAAAAAAAGAAAAAGAAAAGAAAAAAAGATGGGCCATGACGAGAGCGCCTCCCCAGATATTACACGCGATATCTATTCAGTTGCAACTGAACGCTCTCATCAATGCAGTCGGGTTTTCTTTAATTTCAAAAACATAAATTATCTTAGATAATCACTATATATGTATTATACATGTATTTTATATACATAATTTATACTTCACAGCTGATTTCGGTAATGCTATACATTAACTGGTTGTTTAGAACAAAGGGAAGTAACTCAATAATTACATTTTTGTTAATAACATCATTAAAATAAAATATTTTCAATAGATTTTTTAACTGAAAGTCTATTTCACTAATTTTCATCAAATAATGAAGAAATAATAGCAATATTTTAACTAGGTTGGTTTTTACGAGTTGATTTCGGTAATGAAAAGTTGATTTCGGTAACTTTACCGAAATCAAGTTGATTTCGGTATCGTAACGTACCCACAAAGCCAGGTCTAATATAAATACGCAGTAAGTAACAGAAATATGGATGGATGGTTGGAATTTTTCTCCTACAAGAATTGTTTGTTTTTATTATTAAAACAAGCGATCATTCATATTTTTTTAACAAAATAAATAATATCACTGTCAATTAACGTTGATTGTCGGACTTATTTTACAGCTCAAGACTTCTTGTTTTTAATGAGAAATTCCGACTAAATGGGGCTCTCAATGGGGAAAACAGATTTTAATATTTACGTTAATGTCATGAAAATTTCGTTAAAACTTGTTTTTTAGCATAAAATAAAAAGAAAATTTGTTTGTTTGTTGTGTAAGATTTAATTTTATTTCATCTCGTGAACTTTAAAAACAGTATTCTCACTCGTGGCTACGCCACTCGTGAGAATACTGTTTTTAAAGCCCACTCGATGAAATAAAATTTCATCTTACACACAAACAAACAAATATCCTCTATATGTATAATGAGTTAATAAAATACAAACAACTTTTACACATATATCAACTTTTAATGACTTCTTTTTATTCACTACAAAATAAGAGATGGTCTTTCATCATAATAATATTCAATAATTTGTTTTTCTGTCAAAATATTTCATTTAGTACAAATGAATTTATATTAAATACCTCGACTGAATGGTGACCTCTATATAAATCGAGTTTTTATTTACACAAAAATGTTTAATCAATGTTCCAGGTGTTGCAACAACATGCACGTAACTTAATAATACACAAATTACCTAAAACTTGAACTTACTTAGTTATGATTACTTATGGTCTTCTTTTCTTGGCACACATCAATTTGTTATTCTCTACCTAACTACATATAAATATAAATATACAAAAATTACAGTAAATTTACAAGATTTTATAGTACAATATTGAGAGATGGCGGACAACATCCTGTTAAACCATTATACAGATAAATTATGACATAGCTGTCATCATGTATACAATAATAAATCTATGACATACACAAATTTCTTGAAAATAATCTGTTTGTACTATGTCTGGTGATCATAAAAAGGTTGATAAGAAATCTATAAAACTTCAAGCTGTTCAACAATACCACCACGGTCGTATTGATCACTAGTCATAAACTTATCACAATGAAACTGATATAAAATTCAACAATAAAAAAACAAAAATGCGTAACCAGATTTATTATTAATTTTCATTTTTATATTTTCATGATTTATAAGCAGTAAAAATTTCTCTGATTTAAAAGCGTCAATGAACTATGACATTTTACATAATTAAAATGAATCAATAATGATAATATCTTATTTATCAATGTCTACTATACAATTTACTGGCACAAAATCTACATCTTGCTAAGATTATTTTGAACTTACATCATAATTATCCATTAATTAAAGCTATATTTATAAAATATATAGCAGTCTCTTTTTATTTTAATAATTTGCTATTAAGGAAAGCATTGTCTGTTACATATGCTATGACAAAAAAATGTCTTCATTTAATTTATTGATGATGCATATAAGAATTATTGAGGCATTGATTCATCTACTGAAGTAGAAATTGTACTCTTGGCATATTTATGGGGCATATGCGGGTCACAGTATTTTTTTTTAACTTGTTATATAAAAATGAAGGAGTTCAAAATATTCTTAACAAGCAATAGTTCAACATATAAGTTGATATAGGTATATTACATTGATATAAAACATAACAGAATATGTCTTACAAGAGTAAGAAATAATAGAATAAATAAAAACTGTATAAAAAGTTTTTCCTAGAGATTAACATAAAACTGTGATTAAAAATCTCGATACAACTATGAGATAAATTGTTTCCTTCAAGGAATAAAGTCTTAAAACCTTTAAAAACATTAGAGCCATAATTTTCTTGCCCATTTTTATACTTTCAGTACATGATTATTACTTATATGAATATGACAAGGTAAACTTTGTTTTATAAATTACTTTCACAAATTTTACAAATATAAATTTAACTTCAATATAAAAAAAGAAAAACAGTACTGAAGTGTTTTATGTAACTGATAAAACAAGCATAAAAAATATATACATCTGCTAAAGTTACAAAATGAGGGAAAGCAGAAAACAAGAGAAAAACTTTATTTAAAATGTTCAGGTATAATATTTAAAATGGTACATTCATGAATATCATTAAAATAATACATTTGTGTATATATATGTTAAAATGCAGCTTCAAGTTACATAGCAAATATGATTACATATAAAAGTTGATGCTCCATACCAAGGTTACAAAATTAGTAGGTGTGTGTCCTGATGAAACATTCTGATTGGTCTATTTTGTAAATCTGTTTTTTGTAATCGACCAACCAACTGCTGCAGCTTTGCAATTGGTTTACATTTTTCAACCACAAGTTTCTGAATGAATCAATGAGATTGTTGATATTGAGACTGGTTTACAAGGTCAAGGTTTTGTAACCCTAGCGACTGATTGCACATACATGAGCTGATAAAAATGATTAAAATAAAAACCCGTATTGAAAATGCCTTTTTGTTCATGCATTTCCCTTTCCAGTCTGAAATGCAATCTTTAATCTTGTGAAACAATATAAAAAGATCAAAATCTCGTAAAATTAGATTAGTTTTAAGAAAATTAACTGCATTCCAAAAACAATTTCGTAAAAATATATGAAAATATGACCAGTAAAACAAATGAAAGCTGTAAGTTGCTATTTCACAAAATCATTCAAAAATCAGAAAACTGTTGAATATCTTCACACAGATAAAAACTGCAAAACATTTCCCATTACTGGCTTTAAATTAGTACATACATGTACCACTGTCATTCTTGTATAAAACTCTGCTACATTATGATTTGACAATCACACATACATTTCATTCATAATTGTATAATTTTCAATAAAGCCAAGTTTTTTGTATTGACTTTGCTTTTCTGGATTTCTTCACATCATTATTCTATTCTAAGCATCAGCCAAAAATTTTCTTTGGCTTGTGATTTTTCCCCCAAATATTTTGACAACAAGTTTTCCACATAGAACACTTGAAAACCTCTTCCTGTAGCAATTCATTACATAAATATTTATAAAGATTGTCATTTTAAGTTTTGTGGGTGAGTTTTAAAAAATGCTATGTAAAATAAAAAAATGTCAACAAAAACAACATAAGATCTTAAAAAACAACAGAATAATTTGGCACTAGGAGATACAAAAACACCTTTTAATATGCCAGCAGAATTTCATTGGTGCTTAATTCATTCAATGTATCATGTTTGTCAAGGAAAATTGGCACAATTTCAAGAAATTGCTTTGAAATGTTCTCACTCTTCACTTAAATCAATCAAAAATAAGCACCTTTAATAATTAGTCTGTAAATTACAAGCAAATCACATACTGAAAAACACAATAGTTGCCAAGTGAAATAATGTGAACATATTTCAATCATTTTGAACAACAGTTGTGTTTCTAAGAGATTGGACATGAAGTTTTACGGATGGCGACTGATTTTGATAACATAAACCAGTCCACCTGCTTGTTCTGTACGAAAACATTTCTCAAACAACCCTCGAATCCTTGATACGTCAACGCTGCCACCTGATTGGACGATTCTGGAAAATAGTGTTAAATATAATTTTGAGTAAATTGTTTTATATTTGGTACAATTACATTGACTTACATTCTAACTCATTTATTTATATGTCACATTCTTCATAAATAGAATAAAACAGATGAACATGAAAAGTAATGCAGAATGTTTCAAAACATTCATTTATATCAAATTTCATTAAAGATATCTTTTTCACAAAATAACAACATAAAAGAGAAATGATAAGTGAGCTTAATCTGTAATGTTACAAGTGGTCATGTTAAATATGATTGAATATAAATGTTAATATAAACAGTTTAGAGGTTATCAATTAATTCATAAAATGTTTTTTTTTTAAATATCAGTTAATGTAACTCTAACAGAACAGTCATAACTTCCATACATGCCATATCCCCCGCCGGGGGACAAAAACCCCCGATTTTCGACCATGTCTCCCGATCTCCCGCCGTGGGATCGAAATCCCCCGATTTTCAAAAATTCAACCAACAAAAAAATTAAAGCATCATTTTTACCAATAAACATAATTAAACAATAGACTTAAACAACTTTTACAACTATATATGCCTGAAGTAATATTTCCCCATTAAACAGCAGGGGTCTAACGGATAATTGTATTGTTAGTTACGCCGACACACTTCAGCTGTCAAGGAATAACAAATTCTCCTTTTGATAAACCTGTCAATCAGTGTCAGTATTGCAGGTGCTTAACCAATGACAGCGTCTGATACTGAATGTGTGACGTATCAATTTTTGTTGGCTATGTAACCCCGCCTTGGTGTTTTGTTGTCGGCATTGGGTCTTTGAAGTTGATAAAGTGCAGATAAAAAAAATTAATGATCAGGCAATAGAATCTCAAAGAATCACAGATTAGCAATGTTTTGAAACTATTATTTTTTATGTAACTGTGATCTATGTTGTTGCAAAAAATAATATAAACTAGCTTTGTCTCACAGTAAGCAACAAAACTGAGGAGGGATTGAAAGAGGTAAAAATCCGTTTCAATCAGATAAATAAATAAATAATACCTGTTTTAACACCCAAAGGGCCAAAATAATTAGGTTCAAGTTTATTAATTATCCAGTAGTCACGTACACTCAAAAAAACCTTTACACAACCCTGCATCAATTACACAGTTTACATGTACATACAGGTATCAAGTGACGTAGTGTCTTGACTCCCTACTGCCATATAAGGCAATCGATGTGTGTTAACAAAATTGAGGTGTGAAGTACATAATGGATAAAGATTTGTGTCAGATTTTTTTTTTTTTTTACTGTTTATGAAGTGTCAACGGAAAATTTTTAGACAGCATTTTTTTTATTTCACCTTTCTATGGCCTACAAAATTTCTCTGAAACCTTTCATTTAAAAGAAAAATCTTTACCTTTCATTTAAAGAGAAAAAAACTTTGGCTGTTAAAGTATATTATTTTTAATGATTTTGAATGCATCAAATTCAAGTTATTTGTTACTAAAAATGATTCAATCAATATATACTGATATAAAAATGTATTTTATATGATATACATTGCAATTAATTATATTTGTTTTACAGGGATTCTCTATTTTATTTACATCAAATATTTAAGTACCTATGTTTATTTTGCAATTGTTTACATATTTAATCTTTCACAGTCATGTATGTTAAAACTTGAAAATATCAAATGATCTTGTAGAAATGTTCATTTTCATAATAAAATGGGGGAAATTAAATTAAATGTTTGCATCGGTTTAAGATTACGACTGGTTTGTGCTTGCTTAAAAATCCCCCTACTTTTGGTCCAAATCCCCTGCTTTTTAAAGCCAAATCCCCCTATCTGGGTGGCTGGAAATATGGCATGTATGTAACTTCAAGCACAGATTTCTAAATATATAAAATTCATAAAACATTTTTAATTAAAGTAATTACAAGATCTTTAATTCCATGCTTTAATAAAATAAAATTGCAAAATCTACAATTTTTAACCTTGAAGGAAATATAAAAATGTGTGTGACTATATTACCTGGCTTTCCACCCAGATACAATGGGGCTGATGTGCCTGTTTCTGCTACATTTTTATTACCCGAGTTTGTAAATGAAGCCTTTTCATCTACTTCTACTGTGACATTATTTCTAACAAGTGTTGCTACAACCTTATGCCATTTATTGTCACATAGACTGAAGGCAGTACTGAAGGATGTGGCAGCCATGACTTTACCACCACTGTTTACAACATTCAATTTCACCTGAAATCATAAGACAAACACCTGTATCACACCATATAAACTAAATGGTCTATGCATGAAAAAAAGCTTGAGTAAATTCAATGTTCTTTTTCTAAAACAAGTAATTTTATGCACTTCTTTACTGCAAAATGTAAGAATTACATATTTTGTGCATATACCGCAACATAGCATAATTTTGGTTTCCTTTTGCATTTATTTAAGGTAATATACAAATGCATATGTACAAGGCCAACAAATATTGTGACATAGTTAAGGTAATTATCATATATTTATACCTATGTAAAATATATAAATGGAAATATACAAACCTGTCCCTGATGTAACTGTAAAGTTAGAGCATTCCCTCCCACCTGGATTACTCACTGTTGCTAGGATACCTTCAGGTTTTGATGTACGGAATTCCAACTCCATTTTAAACTGACCTCCTACTTCAAATTTCTTTTTCTACAAACAAAAAGGCATATTTAACTTAGCACTCTATTTCAAAAGTGATGAATATGAAATGCCTATTTTAAATAGTTTCATGTTAATATAAATAATGAAATAGACTTTCATAATCTCTACCAACCCAGTATTTATCAAAAGTTTTGTGCTATGACAGTGAACCTGTGCGCAACTCATGACTTAATGACTATATCAAATTATAAGTCCAACTGATTTAAGAACGCTAAAAGATGACATAAAATAAAGCAACAATATAAGCACTTACCATACAGTCCATATGAATCCCCTGTAAAGTGGGCACCTTTTTCTACATTAGTAAAGCACTTGTCCACACCACTGACCAATGTCGCATCATCAAATGTTTTTAACATCACTGTTAACTAAAAGATTCCTTATGCAATCCACGAATACTATGTTTAACCTACAATTAAAATATGAATATGTTTCCTTAAAAAGCATATTTTTCTATCATTCAACATATATTGGCTCCAATGGTCATGATGTGCACCTTTTTATGCAAGCAATTCTACTCTTCATGGTATATATTCGGTGCAGTATACAACTTGTGTTAGCCAATCATAAATCAAAAACCTTATGTATAATTATAAAATTCACATTTGGTCGGATTAACCACATTTGCATACTCGCTAATATCCTAGCTAGTTGTCTAAAATACTGTAATAATTCTTTTAATAAACCATCTGTTTTAAGAAATATGTAATTCATTTGTACTTACAATATCCTTATTCATGAGCGGGTTAATAATCTTTTGGCACACCACCAACAAGTAAGGGTATGTCAACCTTCAAAACTTTGGAAATTTTAGCACCTTTCTCACTGTTACCATCTACTGTCACTGTAATACGTTGTTAGCTTTTGCTCACCCTGACTGTAATGCCAATTACCATCATATAAACTGTCCTTGTTTTAACTACTACTTCTTTAGTTGATCCTTTTTTGTCAAATGATAGAATAATTTGCACCATCTCTTAGCTGAGTGGCTAAGAAAGCAGTGTGGTCCCAATTAGACATGTACAACAACAGTCCATCTTTGTAATATGTGCGGAAGTCAAAACTGATTTCAAACCTGAAATAATTCACAAATGTGATGAATCCACAAAGCAATTTTATGTACAAATTCAATAATAATGAACCTGTTTAAATTTTAAGAACTATAAGATAAATCAGATAAAAGTAACTGAGACTGAAAATTAAATAAGATTTTCAAACTGGGATATCCAGTATAAGTGACCCAAGATGCACTCTCTCAGTTGTATATATTCAATATTGATTTTTTTTAAAAATATAAAAGTTTTCCCTTTAGAAACCGAGCTTACAGCATTGAAGGACAAGCAATATGAAATCAAGTCACACCCAAACCCATCCCAAAATTAAAATTTTTGTCTCTCAGTACATTACTATACACAACAGTATCTTGTTTACATTATGAAACCCCTTTAGTCACTCAGCATTATTACATGAAAATGAGTAAGTTCATGCATTAGGTTCCTACAATACACAGACAATAAAGTTACAAACACAGCTTCAGATTTTGAAAACGCTAAAAGTGGCATAGAATAAAGTCAACGGTACATACTTCCTCTGGATTTTCTTCTTGGACACATTTATTTGAATAAGACTTGTATCTTCATCTCCGAACGCAAATGCTTCTGGCTCAGAAACATAGATTCCTGTATTAGCAGCACATGATGTTGGGCCAGAAGTTGTAGGTATTGTTGTGGTGTCATCTGGTACCGTCTTCACTGTTGTTACTTGTGTTCGTTCTTTTGTTGTCTTCACAGCAATAACCTCAACTTCTTTATCTGGTTGTCTAAATTTCATTTAACAATTAATTACTAATTTTTCCATTAAATTGATCTTATGAATTTATGTACATGAATAAGAGAAAACATCAGTGTAATAATCAGATACAAAAGGAATAAACAATACATTGGATTCAGACCATTTTGCAGACAAGATAACTTGGCCATGAGATTCTTTTTTTATCCTGGACAAACTTTTTAACACACACAATCCATAGGGATGCTTGTGCTCAGCTTACAAAATTAGAAGGTAGTTTCTATTTTTTTCAATTAAAGTGCCAGAATTTCCCGCCAAGTTTTCCAATCGAGTAAGCCATATTTTTCACCATCAAAACCAATTTTTTTAAAAATTGAGTGGCATTTTTTAAAAAAAATTTGATGGTTTTATGGTTTTTCCTTTTTAAAAATATTACAGAGGCACAAGAATCTTAAAGCATTAGATATATTTTCAAAAATCTGCCAAAATGCTGAATCAAAACAATTCTAAAACTTAATAATGTAAAGTATCTATGTTTACTTTTCTCTTAAATTCCAACTTAGACATAGCTAATGAAGTTGCAGTTTCCCTATGCCTTCAGTGCAAGTGTTACTCCCAAGAAAAGTAAAATGTAAAAAAGGTCTACCACAGATAATTCTGTTACCTTATTTCAGAGGGGGCAGGTGAATCACTGATGACAGGTGGAGGATTTGTATTAAAACTATCATCATATTTTGTCTTCTCTCTACATCGACCTATATCTGCCATATCATACTGCTTGGGATCATTGATGTTCAACACACTGAAATATACAACCATCATAAACTTGACATTGAATTCAAGAAACAAAATTGTGTGAGAACATTTGAAGTTTATTATCAGTAAAAGTCTTCCTTAAATAAGAAATTTAAAACCTTATTGTTATTATAAGTTGCATCTAACATACTGGTTGCTCAAAACAAAACAAAAAGACACTATCACACAGCAACTGTAAGAATGGGATATATACTGCATAAAAATTCAAGTAAAATGACATAAAGTGAAAAAAAAATCAATAAATTAATATGAGTGTTGTTGAACAATGATTTAGTGAATAAATTAATAAACCAACACAATTAAAAATGTCAATACATGTTTACTTTATATCAATTCAATAATGTATATTGAAAACTACAAAAGTATACATAAAAACAATGACATACTTTCCATTAATGACAACATCACTGATACAACCATCCAATGTCTGTGAAACTGCTGCTTTATCTCCTACATTTGTATCAAAATTTGTCGGCAGTCCACCAAGGTATAATCCACCATCCTCTCTTACTGTAATCTTATCAAAAACGGTTTCCTAGACGACCCCTTCCTATTGATTTATCATCAACAAATAGTTCAATCCTAAAATAAATATATAAAATCAATGATCAAAACATTCCATTTACATATTTAAGTGGCATTATGCTCATATTTTCATTGTCAAGTTCAGCTTAATCAACTACATGTATATACTTCAAAAGATTGACTGTTATTACAGCGATTGACCTACAGTTGATACAGAAAAAAAAGTTAAGATGAAATATATATATCTGCCTAAAATATAAAAATACTACCCCATTCTTTTTATAAGTTGAATGTTATTGATAAATTACGATGGATATATGGATATTTATAAAAATTTCCTTGGGGCCATGCAAGTAATTTATCCTTCAAATGGAGAAAATTATAAAAATGAAAGGAATTAAGACAAAAATGTAAACTTATTATCATTCTACATTAGCAAGAGATATTTGTGAAAAACATGCCTATGTAATAGAAACCAATTAATCATGTTTAATGAAATTCTTACCTGTTAATTTTGTAAAGATCAGGACTGATAAATATCTACATTGATATAATGTCCTCTTTGAAATGCAATATTATGCAAAGGCCTTCTTAACACATTTTACTACAAACAACATCATATTGGTTAAGGTCAACCTGACCCTGAACATTCACTTAAATAGGATTATTAAATAGTCATGACCAACCTCCTCGTCTAATCTAAGGTCTGTTCACAAATGTGTGTGTTTGTTCTTTGATTAGACAATTTTAAGTGACTTTTGACTAAACACAAAGATTAAAAGAATCATGAATCATTGACTAGGCATGACAAACTGCCACACCAAATCTTTGAAGTGGATGCCAAAACATACACATAGTTATTGGCTGGAAAGCTTTTCATAATTCAAACACAGTGACAATAAACTTTGACAACTGGTCATGATTAACCCACACACTAAATTTTGGGTCTGTAGGCCAAAACATTTTGTAGCTATACGTAGGACAAGGCTTTAGCAGCCAAGGGCATGGGGTTACCTTCAACCTCAAAATCAATCAGGTTATCCTACTACTTATGACCAACCTCCATACTTAATCTAAGGTCTTATGGCCTAACCATTCTCTCTAGTTACTGGTCCAACAATCTTCAGCCATATTGACTTTTAACTGACCTAAAAATCAATAGTGGTCAGACAAGGTCTGGTCTATGGACTGATGGACACTAAGTAAAGCAATATACCCATTTTCTTTAAAGGGGATATAATTAAATGAGGCTTTTTAGCACTTTACATGAAGGGCGCAATGAAAAGTCAAGATTATACACTTTTCCTGATAATGTACAATGATAAAATAATACATTTATATACATAAATGTATTTAAATTCTGCCCCACTGGAAACCATTTTCCTTAACAACAATATTTGACATCTTACTTCCTGTCTGTTTTCTTCACAGCAATGTTATGCAACTTGCCATCATTGTAGGTATTGTCTGACTTGACAATAACTGGTGTACCTCCTCCACTGAATCTGCCCTCCACATGACCTTCAGTTATTGTTAGGTAGTAATATTGCTGAAACATTCAAGTATACATAAAGTTTCACAAAACTGTAACAAAATGCAAAAAGTTTTCACCAGAAATACAAGTTATTGCAAGGTTGTGTAATTTCACTATGGCAATTTTTCAGCAAAGAGAATATGCAGATAATTCTGTACTAAAATATATTGAAAAAATATATGTTTTTGATAGCGAATACATGGGCAGTCAAACTGGAATAACACTCATGACCATTTGGTAACTACATATATTCAAATGTTTAACCAGATGTACATAGCTGAATGAATTCTATATTGTGATATAATCCCTTGAAAAACTGAATTTATCCTTAAAATTCCAAAAGAATAAAGAACACAACATAAAATGAATGAAAACTATTGAATATAAAGACCCTAGAGGATCTGCCCTGAGTAAATAATCTGAACAGGACTGAACAACCAAAGATTACAGAAGCACTATTGACTTAGGTAGCCTCAGTTTCAGACAAGTAGTAAATAAAGCAATTAATCCCTTGCTCTGCACTGTTTTCACAAGAATGATCAAACATAAGGGTTTCTGTATCCATAAATCTCTCCTATTTTATGTCACACAGTTTTCACCAACAACAATCTGTTGTCTTATATATTTATATAAAATCATACTCACATCACCATTTATGCTCTTAGCTAACAAGAGTAAAGCGTCTGGTTGCTGTGTTTTAAATGATACAGACAGGTCTCCATCAGCTGAGTCCAGACTCATACCTGGGTACTCCGCAAACCCAGATCCATAAAACCCTATTGACCTAAAGCCCTGAAATAACCATCAAAACATTTCCTATCATACTGCCACATTTATCTTCCTCTAGTAGAATATTTTCTAAACTACAGTTATTCTAGTTATTTATAAATCAAATATGTAGTATGTAGTCTACTCAATTCTTTAATTTCAACAGTATTTTTTTCTCTCCACAAAACTTTTTCCTCAGAAATAAAACAATACAAAGAAGCATACTCTATCCTTGCAGCCTTCTGTAACACCAACAGTTGACTTGCCATCCCAGAGATTCACAGAATCTACAGCAATTTGTAATCCGCTCATACAACCCAGAAACCTGTCTGTAATAATCTCCTTCCTTCAATTATAAATATACACACTTAAAACTAAAAATTTTAATTTAGCCTTTTCAGTATTATAGAGCATTTCATTCACAGGATTGAAATTAATTTTCAATGTGTCACTTATCAAAGAAATTTATGTATATGTAATTTATTATTTGTACAAGTAATAATAAACCTAATCTTTATAACATTTAAAGAGATTTAAAGAGACTCAAAATAATGGGTATACTACTGCGAATTCACTTATATTCGTGGGCATGAAAGTTCGTGGTTTTATCAAAACGGGCATTTTCGTGGGTTCTTAAATTCGTGGATTTTCGTTTTCTTGTTAAAAAAAATCAGTAACCTAATGCAAAGTAATCTTAATCGCCGAACAGTTTTACTTACAACATGTACATTGTAGTATTATTGTACATATCTTTACTTGTCACACAGCGGTTGTCAATAAATTTAATCCTTGCCTCTGGGCATAACTCTAATATAGCACAGTTACTGCCGATAATTGACTGCAATTAACACATTTATGTGACATGATATGCACCTCCATTGGACACACTGCCCCTGTCATTCGCCGAGGTAAACATCGCATAATTTATACGACACCTGGCACGTTTTAACCAGCGAGTTTAAAAGTTTACACTTAACATATTTGACAGTAACTACACGCAACGTCACAGCGACTGTGTAAATTTACATGCATATAAATCATTCTCGGTAAATAACACGAGTATATGTGGATCTTGTAAAAGTCGGTGGCGTCTTTGATGTTTACGGAATAGCATTCGCACAAATACTGATTAAAATTCATATAAACTGGATCATTTAAAAACGACCAAAGAAAGTACAATAAATCTGTTTTACGATCGTATTTTTTTTTTTATAGTTTTGTGTACTTACGGCATTAATATCAAAGACTTTTTTTTAAATTAATAAGAGCAAACTGACAATTTTTATTAGCGCTAATTATTGCACTGCCTGGGTTCCCATATTTACTCGATTATGTCAAGTATTCTTGTTAACACAATCAAGTCCTAGTAGACTACAACGATCAAGTATGTATATGCGACATTTGTGACAGTAAATTGAGGACATATAATCGAGTTAACTTTCAAGTTTCTTAAATATTGCAAACGGATTTAATATGTCACTAACCTGGTTATCTGTCTGTACTTACATCCATTTCACGAAATATCGACCGGAAAAGAGCCGACGCATGTTTGTAATATATAGAAAGAAGTATTTGTTGGGATAAAAGTTCGTCGGATCTTAAATTCGTGGATTGACCTACCCACGAAAACCACGAAAATTCGTGCCCCACGAATAATAATGATTTTACAGTATAACCAAGTTACTTTAAACAGGTAGGTCTGAATATTTTTGAAGTATTAAACCATATATCAATGACTCAAAAAAGAAATATGGAATTTGTTCCTGAATAAACTCGATGTTACAAGAAAAAGCTTACCCTGAGGCCTCCATGTATTTGTCCATATTGACTGAAGGTGGCATGCCTCCAAAAAACAGGTCACTTCTCTCTACTCCATCAAGAAGGTAGTCTCCACTCGGTGCCTCAATAACGAAGTTTTCACTGGCAACCTCAAGGACAGCTGTAAAACAGATACTATTATACTCCTGTAATAGTTCATTGTTACCTACCTTTGATACCCCACTACACACACACACACACATATATATATGTGAAATATTATCACAACAAACATAAAAATACACTGCAACTCTTTAACATTATCTGTGTGATCATGTCTTTTTGACATGTATTTTGCTGCATTTATAGATGAACCAAGAGACTGTCCATTTTAAGTTTCCATTATACAATATACTTGATCTCAACAACTACATTGTACAAGCACAGAATCAGGTAAGACTGCATGCATGTATGTCCTGGCAGAACTGATTCTATACTCGTCAATATTTCTTTGCAATATAATATATCTCTATTGGAAATTTTAGATTATTAAAATTCTAAAATAGGCCTAATAGTAATTAACAATTTTTTGCTGTTTCACATTACACATCTTTTATTACATCACATCCATTGTTTTAATATCACTCTACATGAACCCGCAAATTCTGGTAAGTTAATATAAATTATACTCTATTAAATTCATTCTTGTTGTTGACCTTTCTATCAAAACATTTTCTTCAACATGAAATTCATGTCTCCTGCCAACTAAATACATAATTTATTATGCATGGAATTCTCAAGATTACTATAACTGCAATTGGATAGAGGTCAAAATGGTGAATTTCTTCACATATTTCAGCTTAGATATCAAAGAGTTGCAGTGTAAAACACTTAATTTCAACAATTAGTATAATATATATTTTAAATATATTTAATCAAATTAATTGAAAGTATGTAATAAGTAAAATAGTATTTACTATATATAGTATTCAATGTACATCATTAATTTAGTTTTAATTATTAAATAAATACATTAAATAATGTAGATGTCTTCGTACATAATTTAATATATGCTTTTTGTAAGACTTATATATTCTTATATTATAATAGAATTATACTATGTTTCTATGGGATATATAGAGATATAGATCTAGTAAACAGATGATTAGGTAGGTATTAACTGTACTGGCAACTAAAAGACAACAGACAGTGGACGAACATAACACATAACTAGCATTTCAGGTAAATAACTGATAACATGCAACTTTAACAGGCCATGGTTTCTTCCCCACCCACCACAAGTTTCTCTTGGCTTCAGAAATAACACTAATAATCATAATCCCTCTTAATATAATTTGTATTATATAATTCTTTCTCAGTATTTTTAAAATAGTATATGCCTTTAACTCAGTAAACAAAATTAACAAATATAAACTTTGCCCATCTTTTTACCTTAAGAAATATACTATAACTTGCACAATGTTGTTCAAGGATTAAATGAATAAAAGATTATAGCTCATGCTGAAGACATCAGATATCTGTCTACATTTTTCTCTAATCAAGCAGGGACAAGTAGCATTCTAGAAACTTCTAAAACCATTATAGTGATACTACTAACACATCATTCCAAACATAAACACAAAACACACGTGTATTAGTAGCGACAACACAAAATATGTTAAAGCGTTAACACATAACTCTACCGAGAAGTCCACTCCTGGCAACAGCAACAGACACCCATTTTTTAGTATTGTATCTTTGCTCTGTCTGCATTGTTCCGTAAGTTCCTTCACCAAGGTAGAAATTAAACACAATTTTTCCATTACGTAGTTCTAGTGACATGTACTCTCCCTGAAATTGCAAGAAAATTAGAATTATATGGACATGGGTTATACTCCTTTCAAGACTTTATTATATTTCTTAAAAAGGAATGACTATATTTTTTCTGACTTGTTTCTAAAACACCAAAGACACTATTTCAATAGTAATAATACTAGTATTTGTGCTTGTTTGGTTAGGTTTTACGATGCAACAACACTGATAAGTTCATATGGCCACTTTCCAGCTTTATATTGGTAAAGGAAAACCTCAGATGTCCCTCTGTGCATTCTATCAGGAAAAAGGAGGCATTCAATTAGAACCACTGACCTTCCCTAACCTTGCTGGATAGCTTCTTCACATGCAAGAGTCCAAAACTCCCAAACAGATTCAAACCCACAGCGGTAAGTGTCAAGTGGTTTGATGTCGAAGACATTAACCACTCAGCTACCCCTATATAATAGTACCAAAGCCTTTCAATGTCATATAGAATTTAAAACTAAGGTAGGATATAATCGTTTCAGAATAGAAATATTTAATATATAAGAAATATTTCTAATTTTAGACAATCAAAACTGTGTGTAAGATAGTATCATACTGATTCTTCATTTCCAACAAAGAAGAGTGAAGCATTGTCCCAGTATGTTTTGATTTCGAGAATGATGTTAGCTAGGAGTGGAGACTGTATCCTATTCTTGTCTGTGACAGCATAACCTGTACCATCAAACGAATATACATTCGCCCCTGGTGCCTGAGATGGTCTGTAACATAGAATATTTCATTGATTTTAGAATACAACCAGTCCGTATTATTCACCGAGCCATCAGGTGTTGATGTAAGATTTGATTCTCATCAAGCTATTATATGTAACTTATACATGCTTCTCTCTCACATGTCAGAATTAGATTTGTAACTTTAAATCAGTTAAGAAATACCTTAACATTTTGATTTTAAAACAATGATGACTGTAAATAATAATTTAAGTGTAAAGTGTGTGTTTTGTTTTTGTTTTTAATTTTTTTTACATGTTTAAATGTAACTTTCACAGTTTAAAAAAGTTTATAAATAAAAAAAATATGCTGATGCTAGGTAATTCATCTTTATCAAATTAATTCTAATGTAAGTAAAAATAGATAAAATGAAGCTTACACTTCAAGACAGGCTTTACAAGTGTCCTGGATATTTGTCTCAAAGTTGTATAAGCCAACAAGCTTGTCATCAATAAATACACTCCCTAAACAGCCAGTGAAGTTATATGACGTAAGTCCACTTGGTAAGGGATAATTTTCCGGTATACCAGATATATATACATCAGTTTTTTCACCAAGGCCCATCACTGATGACCCAACAGGAGATGATGATGTTTTTGGAGAGCCAGCTTCCTTTGATAACTTATGCACTGATAGACGTCCCAAACGACCAGTCCTAAAACATAATTCATTATGTTTAAATGGCTTTGAAAAATATACCTTTTCACTCATACAATCCTCATTTTGTGATGAAAACATCAAACAAGCATCAAGAGCATCAGATATGACAGAAGAAAAAAAACTTATGAATACATCACTCACACCTGGTGAAATTTAGAAAAGCTGGATGATTCAATACATTTTTATGTTTACCACCAATATGTAACAATATTCATATCTATACATATCTATGTATTAAGATGTTTAAATTCAAGTTTTAAAAAATGCTCCAGAATATGAGAGGGATAAATACCTTTCAGCTTTGACTTGGTACCATTTTTCTGTTTCTTTAATGATATCAGTTTGTGATTCAATAATGACATCACTATCTACACTTCCCGTACCACCACCAGCATTCCAACTAAACCGAATCTTACGATTGCGTAATTCAACAGCCAAGAATTCCTGAAATAAAACATCCATGTGCTCCTGTAACATTAACTACATTACAAAATGTATAAGTATCTATTTTACAAATGTGACTGCCAAGTACTTGTTTCCATTGTAATTTTGGGATAAATATACGTAAAAATGAATATTACTTTCAAGTGTTATAATTGAAGAATAAAGAAATACAAAATGGTATTTGATATGTTTCCAGTAAAATGGTAAATATTTTATGTCTACATACATTGTATTAAAATTTTGATGCAATTTTAACTTGAAACCATACAACCTTTTATTAAATTTTTGTGAAGAATCAATGAATAAAGTAATGATGTAAAAGGCAAACTCAGGTTTAATACTGCTAATTTAAAGCCAAGCTGTACATTTTATAACCTACTACCTTATATTGGTCATCATCAGCAGTGTTGATCTCTGGGTTCTGTATAAGGACAATCATCATGTCTAAATCAGGCTCATCCGTCTTGAAGGCAAAGCTTATAGAGTTTATTGTTCCTGGATTCACCATAGGCCGGAATTTCTTCACACACTGTCCCTTAGCTTTCAGAGATGTTTTAACCTGAAATACAGTTTTAAAAACATGATTTTATAATTGCTCTTATTCATTGCAGTTCATAAGGAAAGAACATCCTACTTTTTTCATTTAAATCAAAACATGTAGAACACAAATCAATCAAATGATTTTGTTAAAACATATTCAATGTAAGTTAAATTTCAACTAAATTGCACACAAACTATTGTCACTCCATATCTGCTACAAAATGCAAGTCACGTTTTTTTTTGTTTTTTTGTTTTTTGAAGAAAGTGTGTTCTACAGAGCATAAATGTAAATTATTATAAATGCTGCCATGGACAAATATACTAAATAACATTATTTTATAATTCATTTGTTCTAATGTCTACCTTATTAGCCTCTTCCCTGGCCTCTCTAATGCTCTGTTTTAGTTTACTGAGTTTATCCCTCAAGTCTGACCTCAGTTTCCTTGACTGTTCTATCCTTGAATCTATAGAGTCTGTCACATTCCTCATGGTGGTTAGATCTTCTTTTGTACCAGATACTTTAATTAGAAAATATTGTATTTTTACTTACCTTATCTATGAAAACAATCAAGTCTGTTAATCAGCATTTTGATACTGATTAAAAGAGAAGACAGAACATAAATTTAATTTTTAGTACACCTTTGTTATATGTTAATATCTTATAGAACAAATAGATCAAAACCAACACAAATTTAGATATCAATACATGTTTTGATATATTAGCTTCATCAGTTGATACATAAAGGAAATGACGTAAACGTACCAGACAGACTTCTACTTATATCTAATAGACGCCACATTTGGCGCATAAAAGAAACGTTATAATAAAATAAAACGTCTAATACTGTTTTAACAATAAAAAAAGTCTCAACATTGCAGCAAAATTTACAAATGTTTTGAAATAAAGGTGTACTGGTAACAATAAAAATTACTTTTTAATTGAAAGAAATATTATAATCAGGAGAATATTTCAATTCTTACAGGACACATAGATATCCTCAAACTTGTCTCCAACAATATTCTGAAGCTCGTTTAATTTTGGCATCATTTCATTGTTTACTTTATCAACAATGTCTCTGGTACGATCATTGACTCGCTTAGAAACTTTATTTGTGTCATCTAGAGAATTCTTCACTTCAGCTATACGATCAACAACATCTGAAATATAACATACATTCAGTGATTTATTCAGGTACAAGTACATGTAATAAATATTTCTGCGGAAAATAAGATGTAACTATGACTATCACTGGAGGTGATAAATACAGCTATAATTCCTAAAACTAGAGTCTCCAGAAGCAGGTGCCACGCTCTTATTACCAAATGCAAAATCACTATTGTAAGCTAGTTTGTGAAGTTTTTACAATGGTAAATGTCATATTTGAATTACTCAATATCAAAGATTGGTAATGAATTTTGTTTTGTCCTAGTATAAGCTAAATACATCTATAAAAAAAAAATGTATCACAAATTTGATAAATTATTAAAAAATCCAAAATTGTTTGTGGGATTCAAACCCAAAAAGGTGATAAGCCAATGAGTGAGTCCGCAACCTTTATTATACTACTATTGAGTTTGTTGCCCTTGTCGAAAAAGAAAATCACTTTACTCCGGTAATTTTAAATCTAAAAGATAAATCATCTAAAGCACTGGTAGACAAAGGAAAGTATCAGACATAGTAATATAAACTAAATTGTCACAGTGAAATAATATGCCATGCTTGGAAATCCAAGGTCCATAATTGAACATAAGACTCAGTTAGCAAGTTAATTGAGTGGGCTATAAATTAGGATAAAGCCCCTTACTTCTGGGTAGTTGATCTATATCATTCTTTATGTCTGTGTGTCTGTCTATACTGTCTAACGATATCTCATCAACATAATCCAGTCTTCTGTTCACATCATTGAAAGCTTCATCCAGATCTGTAAAAACAATTCATATCATCAAACTTAAACCAGCAAAAAGAAGTATTGCAAACACATCACTTTAACTACAGTACTTATGAATGGTTGAAACCTATATTTTACACTTCAGTTATAATTAACAGTAAGTAATACAAGAGCTGTCCGTAAGACAGCGCGCTCGACTTTTTTATTGCTTGCCAATAAAAAAAGTTTTTGCAGTAATACAAAACATTGACAGTTAAGGGCCATAATTCAAATAAAATCTTTGACAGAATTACCTTCTCCTGGACATGTTTGGGAATCATGATTGTAAACAAGTATTCCAACTTTCAAATTAATATCTCAAACAGTTCAGTCAAAAAGTGGACTGGTACTAAAAACTTAACCAAGATTCTAAGTCGATAAAAGGCCTTAATTTTTAAAACAAATCCTTGACAGAGTTACCTTCTCTTGCGTACAGATGGGGGTAATGATGTGAAATAGCATTAAAAGTTTCAAAAGCAATATCTCAAAGGGTTAAGGCAATAAGTGGATTTTACCCATATTCAATGTATTTTCTAAGTCAAAAAGGGGCATAATTCTGTCAAAAACCTTGACAGAGTTATGTCCTCTTGTCTGTTGATGAAGGTCGTGATGGTAAACAAGTATGGTCAGTTTCAAAGCAATACCTCCAATGGTTTTGAAATAAAGTGAGGTGGTACAAAAAACTTAACCAAGCTCAATACACTTTCTAAGTCAAAAAAGGGCCATAATTCTGTCAAAAACCTTGACAGAGTTATGTACTCTTGTCTGTAGATGGAGGTTATGATGGTGAACAAGTATGGTAAGTTTCAAAGCCATACTTGTAATACTTCTGAAATAAAGTGGGGTGGTACGAAAAACTTAACCAAGGTGTGACGCCAACGCCGACGCCGACGCCGGGGCGAGTAGGATAGCTCCCCTTTTCATAGAAAAGTCGAGCTAAAAATGCGATGTTATTTAAAACATTAATAAATATAGTACTGAAAATCTCAAAGCAATGTTAAGACTTAAATCTAATCTAACTAGTACACACTGTATAAAGTTAATTTCTATAAAAATTGCCACTTTAACATATATACTTTAACATATATATATATCATAATAATATACATATAATCACCTTTAACACCAATGTTCATAGTCTTGTTAGCTTGATCCAACAGTTCTTTGCTTATTCTCAGTGAGGCCTTCACCGACTTTTTCAAATCTTCAAAGTCAGTCTGAAAACAGAAATGAAACTAACATTACATGGTATATCATGTGTATGTGATATTTTTGTTTAATCTCACAAAAGTTTGCTATGATTTATATAAAGAGGACTTGTCATGTGCTGTTATGACCTGTTGACATGATAGGATGGTGTATACAAGATGTCAGTGAATTAATGAAGGTGCTATGAGAAATGGTCATTATGAGTAAAGAAATACCAGGTACTCTCCTCTAAAGCATTTGCTGGGAAAATACATTGACATGAATTCAAGTATGGTACTCTTTTTATAAATCTTTTAAAACCCTCCAGTTTTACAAAATCTTACATTCTTGATCTATCAAATCCTAATTCCAAGGAAATCCCTAAGAACTCTATTGATGTACCAAAATATTAAGAATTGAGAACTTTTTTATGATATATTACCATTCCAGTAGCATTTTCAGCATCTGCTAAAGCTTTTCTAGCAGCTACAGCAGCCTCTTCTATTGCCCTTGCTATGTTGTCAAACACTCTTGCTGCCTTCAAAGGCTCTGCTGCAGCATTTCGGGTACTTTCAAACATTCTAAACAAATATAAACATCAGTTATGTGGATTTCAAGAAACTAATAGTTTGGTTTTTTGAATGAGCATGGATGAGTATCTCATTAAAAGTTTAACTTTTTTAATTAATTACCACCCATTAAGTCATAAGATTTATGAAAAACATTGCTTTTAAGCAAAAAATAGAATCATGTTTTTTCATAAGACTATTTGATTATAAAACTGAATACAAAGATAAATGAGAAACACAACTAACTCAGTCATAAATAGCCTGCCCTATTTACTAGAAAGTAAATGATGATGTATCATAATTTAAGGACATAAATTACACAATAGCAGAAGGGTAAAGTATAATAAGCATATCTACTACAAAATACAGAGTGAAGTTAAATCTTACTTTTCCAGATCTTGGGCATATTTTGAGAGGTTATTAGCATGAGCCCAGGCTTGTTCTACCAGCTTATCTTTACCAGGCATGTTCTCTCTCAAGGCATTCTCCTTCTTCTCAAGTGGGTCAATTGCAGCTTCTAGAGTACTTGCTCTCTCCTCTAATGTCTGATACAACAATTAATAATCAAATATTAATAACAATATACAACCCTAGAAATGTTGATCAGGGTTTAAAGGTTGTTTTAGAAGAAGACTTTATTAAAATGTCATAGTATTTTGGGTTGATTTTAACTGGCGTTTTCTATAATGATGATTGATGATGGCCTAGTGGTTAAAATGTCTGCCTTCAATGCAGGGATCATTGGTCTGAGCCCTTATCGGGTCATGACCATGTTATTTTAAACGACACCAGTACTGGTTGGTTCCAGGAAGCGGACTCGAAAGTGGTTAATATAAGCTGCAAGAACTTGTTTCGCATACAAGCTTAAATACATATGTTTAAAATGAAACTTGAAAACAATCTACAGCCAGGACATGTATTCAGACTTTCTTTAGTGACAATGGTGTCGCCCCATTAAAGCAAAAAGGTACCAAGTGACATTTTCATGTTTTCGAGAAAATCGCGTTTAAAGATTTGAAGTTCCATATCAAATCAGGTTTTAACAAGATGGCAAAGAAACTTCACATAATATTTAGATAATATTTGAATGTACATACTCAAAAAGTTGGAAAGCTTATATATTACTAATTATTGATAATTAATCAATTAAAGGAAATGGTTCCTTTCTGCACTAATAAATATTATGACCGACAAATGCAAGAAGGTACCATATGAACACTTGGCCCCTTTTTGCATTGTATGATTTTTAACATTTGCATGTCGAATATATCAAAAAAGGTACCATATGGCAGTTGGCACCTTTTTGTCCCAACAATATTAACAAAAAGCATCATTTGGTTACAATTTTATTCTACAATCATACAAATAATAATATGAAATTCTTGTGTTTTCAGTAAATGTCTGATACAACTATCACACTGCATGTTTTGAAAGTCTTCCTCTGTGATCAATCTCAATGCCTATGTCAAAATCTCTTACATTGTTAGTCAAAATCAGAATCATTCTCATCCGATTCCATTGTGACATAATCCTTTTCTTTCCTTTATGTTGGTTAAGTGGCATTATAATTATGGAACTCTTTTTGGATAATTTTCTTTGCACACAAAGTAACCAAGTTATTCCCTGCGGTCTGGAGACCGCAGGGTATTGGTACGCGTTTAACTTTTGAGGCATGGAGGAGCACGTGACCTGTTTTCGGTACATGGAGGAGCATGTGATCTGTAAACCGTATATGATTGGTTAATTGACCTTTTCGAAAACCCAGCTAAATACCGTTTGCCGGTACGTTACGGATTTACCTGTAGGGAATTAGTCCGAATTATACCTAATTGAGAACAAAAATCTATTACGTGGTATTTCTAATTTTCTATAATTATTTTACCATTTAAGGTGGAAAAACTTGAATAATGTGTTTGAAAATTATCAATGTTTCTTTAATATGTATCTCAAATTTTACAAACAATAAATTGTTTATACTGAAAATCTACAAAAATTAGAATATTTGTAGTGGCATCTGCCATAATAAATAGAGATACTTTCTGCGTAAACTTGTGTGTTTACTTTATTTATTTTTTGCTCGGAATTATACATAAAATGGTAGGCCTATTTAATCATTTTCTTAAAAAGAAATAATTGTTTTATGATCGACCTTCTCCGGTCTTCAACGGTCACATGCAGTTTCCAAAGACCTTCTTCTATATTGTTCGATTATTGTCAACTATATTCCTGTTAAAAACGTTTATTTATTTCCCCCCCCCCCCCCCAAAAAAAAAAAAAAAATAATAATGTTGAAAATAGTTAAATGAAATATCTTTATATAATTAAAATGTTCACCGCAGGAAACCATTTAACTTGTTTCTTTTGAATAGAAACTGGAGGTTTGGTATCATAACTTCATATATTGTTCACCATTTGTCCACTTATACTTTAGATTCTGTATTCTGAACTTCTATTTCCATAAAATCTTCACCATTAAAGCTCTAATTTACAAATACTGACTTTGGGCTTTCCTTTGGTACCTGTATCCATTCCACTTGTAGCCAGTTTACTCTTTGTCCGTCAATGGATGTTTTGAGTCTCGGACACTGTTTTTATTTGTTTGGGTCGTCAGACCAAACAAATAATGGCAGCAAAGTTTCAGAGCCTAATGCCGTTAATTGCAAATGCCTTAAGTAGTCCACTTTTTTGAAGTGGTTACTTCCATTTATATGTACACTTACGCCGAAAAATTCAGGGGAGATCAATGCGTTAGGATTGTCAAATGACAGGCGCATTAATTTTCAAGCAAAGTAGTTCCCGAATGGTCGAAGATTTCTAATATTGTTTCATTCTTTATAGATATACATGCTTACAGTAAGCTGCATGATTATTTACATTTGTCTTAAACAACAGGTTTAGCGTTGAAATAATAAGAGTTACAAACCCTAATTTAGAATGATATGGTTTTCTTCAGGCCATTAACATATAACTTCACCGTGGCCAAGGGGTTTGCACGCTCGCTTATGAATCGAGAGATCTGGAGTTCAAATCCCAGTTGAGGCAGCTCATTTTTTTTCTTTTTTTTTATGTCAAATAAACATTGAATTGACTATCAGTGTTGCAATTAGTCTTATAGCCAATTAACTACAGTTAAAACACTGGAAAGCATTGGTTGGCACTATACAAAAACAAATTGGTTTATAATCTCACAACCTTCACCTTTCTGACATTCTGAGACCCAAACAAATCCAGCGCCTTCTGTGCTTTGATTAATGAAGTTTTTGAAATAAAAAACATGGTTATATTTCATTGGCACAGCAACGTATGGCTGTGATTTTCTGGCCAGTGATATAAGAGAACACAACTGAATGATACCTAATTCTACAGGAATTATTTTCTTTGCCCCTTCAAGAGTCAAGTTGTCACTCCATCTGTGAGTGACCCGATACAAGAAATTTGTGATCAATCTTAAACTTGGAACTTGTGATAATATAAAAGAAGAGATGCAGCTATGTATCAGTTTCTGTTTTGTCCCCGTAAAACAGGCAACATAAACGCATGAGTCACCTTTTGCTACAACTTTATTTTAAATCTTTTCTTCTAATGAATTTTCTTTCTGTTTTTGATGTTCCTTGAACGTTGCTTAACAGGTTTTATTTCCTTCTTTTCACTTTCAATAGTTTATAGTTTCCACATCTTTTTAATGTTTTAGTCACAGTCATGAGATAGGTATTGTTTCTTTCAGTTTTTTTTCTTGTATAATGAGATTTCATTTTAGGAAATTACTCTTTATGTTGTTTCACCAATTTAACTATATCATAACCTAGTTTATTTGCAGATGTACTCTTCCCTGTCATGCTTCTCCTTCCATATAACCCATGTATCTTGTTGGCAAGAGTACAGTCAATTACTTTTCTTTTTATGTCCACGTTTTTGTGAAAAAGTCATTTATACACTATAATTATCTTCGCACTGTTATCATTCCTCAATTTAAAACAGAAACAATACTCTGGGATTTATTGTTATATTTGATGTCCTTAGCAACATCTAGATTGTGTTTTCATTAAAAAGCTAAAAGGTACCAAGCAAACAATTTAATATATAAAATAATCTTAAGGGTCGTAAATTCTTTGTGTGCAGAAAGGGACCATGTGACACATGGTTCCTTTTTGCATTGAAATAAATGCTCAAAACATATATAGTCATACAATGCAAAAAGGTACTATGTGACACTTGGTACCTATTTGCTCAAACTGATATGCATTTGGTACCTTTTTGCATTACTAAATGGGAAAATATTGACATAGTACCTTTTTACATAACCTTATATGTCTGTAAATAAACATGATACCATAGAGATATTTCTACAGATTAAAGATAACATCAAAACATAATGAAAAATGTTAAAAAGTCATTTTTGGTCAAAATGTCGCTTGGTACCTTTTTGCTTTAATGGGGCGGTGTCTACTTACAGCAATATTTTCATTGGTTCTATTTAAAGCCACTTTAGCATCTGCAAGGAGTTTATCAGCGTCACCTACACCTAAATCTTTGCTCAGCTCCTTTGACTCCTTCACTTGATCCTGTATGAAGTTTGAAATATTATATCATTATTTTATAAGATAATTCATTCAAATTATTTATGCCTGCAAATAGCAAATTTTATTTTTTTAACTATAACAAATAATATTTAAAGATACATAACCGCTTATTGCACTACTAAGTACCTAAATGATTTCAAAGTTTAATAAACATTAAACCTAATTAATACATATCCTTACATTTTTCAAAATGAAATAACAAGCAAAATACATTGTATATTATGAAAGTGAGCAAAATGGCAGTCATTTAAGTAATAAGGTTTTACCTTTATATTCTTTATTGCCTGTCTTAATGCAGGTATTTTCTGGATTGTGTCTTCTGAGTTCTTAATACTTGTTTGTAAATGGTCTAGTAGTAAATCATCCAGTGCATTCATCAAATTATCAATTTTAGCCTCAACTTCACTTGTATTTGTCAATCTCATTTCTAATGCATGCACTCTGTCAGACAACTTCTCTGCCAAACTGAAAAAAACAAAAAAAACAAATTTCATCACTGTAGCCATCACTGTTTACCCTGCCTGACATGATGTGACAATAAAAATATCACTTAAATAATGCTCCATGTTTGCCTTGACAACATTAATTAACATTTAATGTTTACATAGAATTATCACTTACATATGTTCACTAAACTGGCTTGACAAAACACGCACTCCAGTTCACTATTTGGAAAATATTTCTGATAATGCATTCTATTTGCCCTTTAACAAACATTTACATAAAAATACTATTTCACTTATGTTGTTTACCTTGATAAAGGTTTACATTAAAAATATCACTATTAAATTTTATGCTTCCTGTTTGCCCCGAAAAAAGGTTA